GTTCTGAAGGGTGAAGTCCCAGCCCAGAAATTTTCTCTCTCCTGCGCCTCAGGAATGAGCAGCAAAACAGGACTAGCTGAAATTTCACCCAGCCAGGAACTAAAGAAAGGAGCTGGTTTTCCCACTCATCTTTTCTTAAGCCTTGGGGTGAAAATGACATTTTGGTTTGCTTTATTAAATGAAGAAATTATAATAACAATAGCATCATAACAGGGCAAGCAACAACCAACGAGAGTCACTGGTCTGAGATGGGCGGCTATATAAAATGAATGAATGAATAAATGAACGAATGAATGAATGAATGAATGAATATCAGATTACTCGCTCCGTGTTAGAGACATAATCACAATATGACTTGACCTGCTTAATCATCTACACCTAAATTAATTTTAGGGCTTCTACGACCCACAGGTAGTAGAAAATCCTTGGCTTCAATCAGTACTGAATGTTGACTAGTTTGATGCAGTAAAGCTGAGGCACACCAGAGCTGTAAAATGTCCTGAGAACACCTTCAGACCTCCAATGAACTAGAAACTTGACCAGTTCTTTAAAACAAAAGAAATCAATCTCCAGATTTGGGCTAGAAAATGTCAGCAGGAATCTGGATTTTTCCTACTCGCTTTTTCCAACCTGGATAAGGAGGATCGACTGTTGGAGGGTCGACTGTCCAAAGTAGCCTTTAGTTTGGCTGTAAAAAGCCCCCTCCCCATTACTCACATGTTGAGGTTCTGTTTGGCCTCCTCAATGTCGTTCTTGATTTCTGGGGTGATATTAAACCGCAATTTCTTCGGCATCGGTAGAGGAATCATGGGGGATCTTACCAGCTCTGGCTTCTTTCTACCAAAAACAGCAAGGACATAGTTTAAATATGGGTTAAAAAGTGGGTTTTCAGTTTGAATCGGGGATCCCCAACCCCCAAATAAATGTCACCAACCAAGATAAAGTTTGCATGAAGTTGTTTCTCGCCTAATTGATTTTGTTGTTGGGTTTGGGGGGTTTCTAAGAATTGAGGTATCTTTGGCAAGAAGTAAGGGGAGAGGAAGCAGCAAGATTTTAGTTGACTTTCTTCAAAGAGGTGGAAGAGTTATTGTTGTTGTTGTTGTTTAGTCGTTAAGTCGTGTCCGACTCTTCATGACCCCATGAACC